GCACATGCCTGGGTTGCAGGTTCGATCCCCCAGTAGGGGGCGTGCAGGAGGCAGGTGATTTATTTGCTTTCATTGTTTCCCTTTCCCTCAGAAATCAATAAAAACAAAGTATATGGAGCGTGCACTCCAAATCCAGCTTATTTCCAGAGATGTCCTTTCACAGAAGATGCATTGTCTCCCCATTACCATCAGAGGCAGGAACAGACCAGGAGAGGTCAGCAAGGACCAGCTCCTGCCCCATAGCCAGGCCCCCAGCCAGTGACCACTGCTGCTGCCTGGCCAGTGTCCGTGAGGAAACTGGTCAGTTGGGAGCTGAGGAATGAGGCTTGGGGCAGGTGGCTTTTCCTGAGGGCTGCATGGGGGTCTGCACAGATCCCCTCCCTTCCCGCCCCCTGCCCCCACCGCCGGACATACAGAGCCCCAGGGCCTTCCCCATAAGCTCCTCACCTCCCAGCACTGAGCCAAGACTGTCCGCAGAGGGGACAGGATGGGGTTGGGTTGAAGGCCCAGGCTTCAGGAGCCTGTAGTCCTGCAGCTCACAGCCTCCCCCTTCCCACACTTGCTTTTCACCAGACTCAGGCCTGTCCCTTGGCCCCCCGCCCCCCAGGCCTGCAGCCCCTGCCAGCTGCAGTGCCTTGTGAGCAGCAGGAGATGGCTGCGGCCCTGAGCGCTCAACATCTCTGGGTCCCGATTTGCTCTGTGGCCTCTGACAGGGTGGTCCTCAGCCCAGAGGGCAGGCAGATAAAGACAGGGCCGCGGCTGAGCGCCTCAGCAGGGCACCGGGGTCAGGGAAGGGTGAGAAGCCCGGTGCTCCGGAGGCCAGATCTCAATCTCGCCTGCCTGCCTCTGGAGTCGGGCCTGACACATGGAGAGGTTCCAGGCATGCTTGCTGACCAGCCCCAGGGGTCCTGGCAGCCCCGCAGCCCAGCTGGCTGGCTCTGCTCCTGGCACACGTGGCAAAGAACCAGGCCAGTTCCTAGCGCCCCCCGCTGGTCACCGGCCTGGCTTTCCAATGGGAACCCCTCCACGGCCTGGGGGAGCAGCTGTGCCTCCGCCCCTCCCTGAGAGGCTGAGCTGTAGGTACTCATGGGACGGGGGTAGCTGAGAATGGACTCGGGCGGAAAGGCCCAGGTTCAAGGCCCAGCTGTCCCACTTGGATGGTTCCCTTACAGCTGTGCTGCTTTTCCGCATCTTTAAAATGGCCTGTGAGGATTTAAAGAAACAATCAGTGCAAACTCTGGTGATTTTTAAAATAAGTGACAACAGAAGTCAAGGGCACTGACCAATCAGTACACAACAGCACGGCCCTGCAAGCTGTGTACCAGCCCTGATACCGGGGCTGCCACAAGGTCCGGCGACCATTATCCACGCCCAGAGGCAGTTATCACTAATACTGCAGAAAGGCCAGCCGGGCCCACATCATCAGGCTAATGCTGTGGAACAATTACAAAAAGAGCCTCCCAGCTGAAACCGGTTTGGCTCAATGGATAGAGCGTCAGCCTGCGGACTGAAAGGTCCCAGGTTCGATTCCGGTCAAGGGCTTGTACTTTGGTTGTGGGCACATCCCCAATAGGAGGTGTGCAAGAGGCAGCTGATATCGATGATTCTCTCTCAACCATGTTTCTAACTCTCTATTCCTCAATAAAAAATATATTTTTTTAAAAATCAAAAAGAACCTCCCAGAAGGGGTGAGAGGTGGCCATCTTCCGAGGGCAAACACTCTGAGACCTTGTGGGTAGAGATTTGCTTGTGCGATGTCTCCTCAAGTCCCGTCAGCGAGCCAGGCTGTGATTACAGTGGAGAAGCCAGAGCTGCGTGGAGCCTGCAGACCTTCATCCCGTGAAAAAGAACCAGCAGGGAGGGCCCGAGGCTAAGACTGGCGCAGAGCCCTGGCCGGGGGCTCGGCTGGTGGGACACCATCCTGTGCACTGAAAGGCTGGGGCTCGGTTCCCTGTAGGGGGTGTGATGGAGGCAGCCCGTCTTCCCTCCTCCGTGCCAGCCTCGGCCTCAGTGGCCAGGCTGTCTGCCTCCCAACCAGAGAGTGAGCGCCAGGGGCTTCTGTCTTTTTTTGGGGAAAAAGAATTGGGCGCAGACACACAGACTCTGGGAGAGGAGAGGCGCCGCTGAAGCACCAGTCCTCACTGGTGGGCCAGGTCCACCCCTCCCCATCTTGTAACTTCTGGCCAGGGAATGGGAGGGAGGTCAAAGGTTAAGGCAGACTTCTCAACACATTTCACGAAACATGCTAGATGGGATTAAAAAACTGAGTATCCCAGCCAGCGTTGGTCAGTGGTTGAGCATCGACCTATGAAGCAGGAAGTCACGGTTCGATTCCCAGACAGGGCACATGCCAGGGGTTTGGGCTCGATCCCCACCTTAGGGTGTGCAGGAGGCAGCCGATCGATGATTCTCGCTCATCGTTGATGATTCTCTCTCTCCCTCTCAGAAATCAATAAGAACATATTTAAAAACAACTGAGTAGAGCCAGATCTCTGAGCATTAACTCCCTTGTCTCTGGATGTGAACCGCCTTCTGGAAAAAACACACACACCCAAAAACCTAAAACAAACAACAAAAGCCCAAACCAAAAATGAGTGCAAACACAAATAAAATCAATGTTTCAGAGTCCATCCTGAGCAAATGGAAGCGTTCCCCTCTGAGATGCCGTCCAGGTTCTCCAAGAACAAATACCCAGTGAAAGGATGGAGACGAGACACGGGGGCCCGTGCCCTTCTGTTCATCCTCACCCGAGGGTATTTTTCCCAGTGATTCTCAGAGAGAGTGGAAGGGAGGGGGGGAGAGACAGAGGGAGAAACATTGCTGTGAGAGAGACATCAATCGGTTGCCTCCTGCACCTGCACCTGCCCCAGCCCTCCAGCCCTCCAGTCCACTGGCCGACGCTCTAACCACTTAGCAAACCAGTGAGGGCACATGGACGTGTTTCCAATCAAAATGAAACGATGGAAATAAAAAACAAGTGTGCGGGCTTCGCAGCAGGCGGAATTCCTCCTCCGCCTCCTTCCTCAGAAAGCGCCTTGGTCTCAGTGGCCAGATTGTGCCTGCCTCCCACCAGAGTGAGCGCCCCAGGCTTGTATCTGCCTGGCCAGGTGCCCGCAGGAGAGTGTCTGCTGCACTCATGGATGACATCCTAATAGCGAACACTTCCTCTGTGTTTACTAAGTGCTCGAGGAGCCGGGCTGGGCACTCAGTCAGATGATCTCATTAGTTCCTTTTATAACAATCTGTCAACCAGGAATCTCTAGCCTCCTTTTACAGAGGAGAGACCGAGGCTCAGAGGAGCCCAGGCACCTGCCTGAGATCACACAGCAGCCTGGGGAGACTGGGCTCAGGACGGCTGGCCGTCGAGGCTGAGATGGTGAAGGATTCCTGGAAGGGGGCTGTTGCCTCGCTCATCGCTGCCCCAACACAGCGGGCCTCCTTGGGGAGACATGGCTTGTGGCTTTAAAATTCATTTCCACTTGCCCCAAGGCCTACTCCACATACCACACAGTTCACCCACGTGACGTGTACAACTCCGTGCCCTAGCCGGTGTGGCTCAGTGGATAGAACGCCAGCCTGCGGACTGAAGGGTCCCAGCTTTGATTCTGGACAAGGGCACAGGCCCAGGTTGCCAGCTCGATCCTCAGTAGGGGGCATGCGGGAGGCAGCTGATCAATGAACCTCATCATTTATGCCTCCCTTCCTCTCTGAAAGCAATGAAAACATGTTTGTTTTTTTAAAAAGTGAACAATTCCGTGGTTTTAGTGTATTCAGATACCTACAACCATCACCACAGTCTACCTTAGAGCATTTGCCGCAGAGAACTCAGTACCCCTAGCTCTCACCCTCTCACCCCGCCACCCCCCATGTCCCGGAGCCGCTGCCCAGCCTACCTTGGCAGCCGCGGTAGGTCCTTCCAGCGGGGGCAGCCCGCTGCTGCCCATGCCCCGGCCTCAGCCCCCAGCCAGGAGCGGGCCTCACCCCCCAGCCAGGAGCCCGGCCTGTGTCCCCCCAGCCAGGAGCCGGGCCTCAGCCCCAGCCAGGAGCCGGGCCTCACCTCCCAGCCAGGAGCGGGCCTCACCCCCAGCCAGGAGCCGGGCCTGTGTCCCCCCAGCCAGGAGCCGGGCCTGTGTCCCCCCAGCCAGGAGCCGGGCCTGTGTCCCCCCAGCCAGGAGCCGGGCCTGTGTCCCCCCAGCCAGGAGCGGGCCTCAGCCCCCAGCCAGGAGCGGGCCTCAGCCCCCAGCCAGGAGCCGGGCCTGTGTCCCCCCAGCCAGGAGCGGGCCTCAGCCCCCAGCCAGGAGCCGGGCCTGTGTCCCCCCAGCCAGGAGCGGGCCTCAGCCCCCAGCCAGGAGCCGGGCCTGTGTCCCCCCAGCCAGGAGCCGGGCCTGTGTCCCCCCAGCCAGGAGCCGGGCCTCACCCCCGAGCCAGGAGCCGGGCCTCAGCCCCCAGCCAGGAGCGGGCCTCACCCCCCAGCCAGGAGCCGGGCCTGTGTCCCCCCAGCCAGGAGCCGGGCCTGTGCCCCCCAGCCAGGAGCCGGACCTCAGCCCCCAGCCAGGAGCCGGGCCTGTGTCCCCCCAGCCAGGAGCCGGGCCTGTGTCCCCCAGCCAGGAGCCGGGCCTGTGTCCCCGGGGAAGGAGCCTGTGGGGGCCACTCCCTCTCCCCCCGAAACTGGCTCTGTCGCTCTGCCCTGAGGCCAGGCCACCTCCCAGCTGCAGGGACCTGGAAGGTCTCTGGGACACCCCCACCCCGTCGGCTGGGTGGCAGCGGGGTCGCTGGGGGGAGGGGGAGTGGGCACAGAGCCAGGGGGCACTCAGACCTCCCAGTGGGGCCGGTACCACGGGAGTGGGCGCCCGCGCTCCTTCCCCAGGTCCGGGCCCGCCCCCGCGGGAGGAACCGGACGGCGCGGCGGCGGGCGGGGCGGGGCCAGGGCCGGAGGGCGGGGCCAGGACCGGAGGGCGGGGCCGGAAGAATCGGGGGCGGGGCCGGGGCGGGGCAGGCACAGTAACGCACGCCCGGCCGGGCATCCCGCTCCGCTCGGGCGGCACTCGGGGCGGAGGGCGAGGCCATGGCCGCGGCGAGGCCCCCGCCGGTGGCGGAGCTGCTGGCCCGGGCGCGGGCGGCCTTCCTGGCGGAGTTCGGGGCCGAGCCCGCGCTGGCGGTGGCGGCGCCCGGCCGCGTCAACCTCATCGGGGAGCACACGGACTACAACCAGGGCCTGGTGCTGCCCATGGTGAGGCCCGGGACGGGCCGGCCTCCGGGCGGAGGGCGCGGGCGGCCCGGGTCCCCGGGACCGAACTCCGGCTCCGGCGAGTTTGGGCGGAGCACGTGGGAGGGAGCGGGACGGGACCTTCCGCACGTAGGAGGGGAGGAGGGAGGAGGGAGGAAGGCAGGAAGGCGATCCGGGAGGAAGTGGGCCGGGAGGGGTGTGCCCAGCCTCTGGGCTCCAGCTCGCCCCTGTGGGCTGCTATGCTCACCGGCCACCTGGGAGCACCCCAAAATGTGGAGGTCCCCCCCGTGTTTTGCAAGTGGAAGGAGGTGCTTCAGACTCTGGCTCCCAGGAGGCCCTGCAGACCCTAAGAGCCGGCCCTGAGCCTCCAGCCCGGCCCACTTAGCCGTATGGAGTGGGAGGCAGCCCAGAGGGCCGTGGCTGCTCAGGGCCACACAGCTGGTGCTCGGCGGGCCCCTCTGGACTCAGGAGGCCTCCCAGCTCAGCCAGGGGTTCCCTTCACCCCACCCTGCAGCACACCTGCGGGCACCCCCAAACGGGAAGGCATTGATGGGGCTCCTGATTCTGTTTTCCTGTTGAGCTCGGGCCCGCTGTGCCCCCAGCTGGGCGCCCACGTGGAGGGCAGAGTCCAGGTGTGCTCTGGGCGCTGGCCCCGCCCCTGAAGGTGGGGGGGCAGGGCCTCAGGCTCCGACAGACACTGCGGGTCGCTTCCTGTGCTCCTGCCCGTCCCACATTCCTGGGGACTTTAGTAGGAGAGAGGCCTCTCTGTCCCTCCCGCCAGGCTCTGGAGCTGGTGACCGTGATGGTGGGCAGCCCCCGGACCGACGGCCTGGTCTCCCTCCTCACCGCCTCCGAGGAAGCGGACGAGCCCCGGCTGCTGCAGTTCCCCTTGCCCACAGCCCAGCGGGCCCTGGAGCCGGGCACCCCCCGATGGGCCAACTATGTTAAGGGAGTGATTCAGCACTACCCAGGTATGGCCCCGGGCCTGGGCCCCGGCCATAAAACCCGTTAGCCCACCTAATCCACTGTGGGGTAGGCTTGCAGGACAGAGCATCCCATTGTACAGATGGACAAACCGACACCCCGAGGGGGTCCGGACCTCGCCCTGGGCTGCCCATTCCATGATTGGAGGAGTCAGGATTCGAACCCTAACCCGTGGCCTCCGGAGAGCTGGGAAGCCTGTGTCCGGGAACCGCAGGGTGGAAGGGGGAGGGCCGGGGCCCCTGGGCCCGGCAGGTTGGTGACCTTTGCCAATTGAGACCCTTTCCTGGAAGCGGGCACCAGGCAGCCGCCTCACGTCAGACCGAAACCCTGTAGTGCCTTCCTGTGCCCGTCCTCAGACCGCCTCCCCCTGTCCCCCGCAGCCGCCCCGCTCCCCGGCTTCAGCGCAGCGGTGGTCAGCTCGGTGCCCCTGGGCGGCGGGCTGTCCAGCTCGGCGGCCCTGGAAGTGGCCACGTACACCTTCCTGCAGCAGCTCTGCCCAGGTACCTCCAGGGCCGCTCCCACCCCCGGCCTCCCCGCGCCAGGCCCCTGTGGGCGCTGCTTCTCTCGCTGAGGCCCAGCCCCCCACCCTGTGCCACAGACTCGGGGACAGTCGCCGCGCGGGCCCAGGCGTGCCAGCAGGCCGAGCACAGCTTCGCGGGGGTGCCCTGCGGCATCATGGACCAGCTCGTGGCCCTGCTGGGGCAGGAGGGCCACGCGCTGCTCATCGACTGCAGGTGAGGGCGCCCTGTCTCCCCGCCTGGGGCAGAGCGTGCCCGCTGCGGGGCGTGGCGGGCAGACACTCCGCCCGGTCACCCCCACTCCGACTCCGCGCCAGGTCCCTGGAGACAAGCCTGGTGCCGCTGTCTGACCCCAAGCTGGCCGTGCTCATCACCAACTCCAACGTCCGCCACGCCCTGGCCTCCAGCGAGTACCCACTGCGGCGCCGCCAGTGCGAGGAGGTGGCCCAGGCGCTGGGCAAGGAGAGCCTCCGGGAGGTGCAGATGGAGGAGCTGGAGGGTGAGCCGGCGGGGCCTCACCCCCAGGACCCCGCCGTGCTCTGCCCCCTCCCCAAACCCCATTAGCGTAGGGCTCCCCCCGCAGCAGGCTGCTGGGATCAGTGCTGTTGTTGCTAACATGAGGGTCGTAGACAAGCACAGAGCATAAGTGGTGCCTGGCCTCGGGGCTGCGGCTGGCCCTCTCCCCTCGGTGTGTGTGTGTGTGTGTGTGTGGATATGGAGGGGGCGAAGCCTGCTGGTTCCTGTGTGCCCTTGCCTGTGCCTCTCCCATCCCCTGAGCCCCAGCCCTCGGAGGGATTCTCCCTCCTGCTCCCCCGCGGCCCCCAGGAGGCACTGCGCCCCCCTCACCTCGGAAACCCGGGGGCTGGGACTTGAACGGCTGGACGTGAGCACCCATGTGTGCCAGGGCGCCCCGAATCAAGAGGGTGCCCCCCTCTAAGCTGAGGGAGGCGCTGGGAGCTCAGTGACCAGCACGAGCTCCTTCCTGGCCTTGCCAGAGCCAGGCCTCCCAGCAGAGGCTCCCCCGCCTGGAGCCGCGGTCCCGGCCCCACGCCCTCGGGGGCCCCCGGCCAGGGGTGGTGGGTCTGCTGAGCCCCTTTCCCCCCCCAGCGGGCAGAGACCTGATAAGCAAGGAGGGCTTCCTGCGGGCGCGGCACGTCGTGGGGGAGATCCAGCGCACGGCCCAGGCGGCGGACGCCCTCCACCGGGGCGACTACCGAGCCTTCGGCCGCCTCATGGTGGAGAGCCACAACTCCCTCAGGTGAGGCCGGGCGGGCGCGGGCTCGGGCACAGCTGCCCCTGGCGAGGGGCCGGGCACAGCTGCCCCGGCGGGGGGCCGGTCCCAGGCCCGCTGCGTCTGCTCCGCAGGGACGACTTCGAGGTGAGCTGCCCGGAGCTGGACCAGCTGGTGCAGGCTGCGCTGTCGGCGCCCGGGGTCTACGGCAGCCGCATGACGGGCGGCGGCTTCGGGGGCTGCACGGTGACTTTGCTGGAAGCTTCCACGGCTCCCCAGGCCATGCAGCACATCCAGGTGGGTGGACGCGAGGCCGGGGCGAGGGGGGGCCGGTTCCCAGGATCCCCGGGCTCAGGCCTCTGCCTCTCCCGCAGGCGCAGTATAGCGGCACCGCCACCTTCTACCTCTCCCAGGCCGCCAGCGGAGCGCGGGTGCTGCGCTGATGAGCTGCCCTGGGAGCTCCACGCGGGGCCTGCAGGCGGCAGCCGGGAAGCGCCGTGCCGCTGGGCCTGCCCCCGCACCTGGAGCTCAATAAACGTGTGCCTCAGACTCAGGACCTCCGATGGTGCGTGCTCGGCCAGCACTGGGCCGGTCCCAGAGACTGGGCAGGGCGGGGCTAAATGGCAGCAAACGCTTTATTAAGTGCAGAACAAAGCTGGGCCCGTGCATGCTGGGCCCGGCGCTTCGGTTACAAACGCGCTTGGCGGGTGAGGGATTGGGGGCAGACGGGGGGCCTTCTGGGACCTCTGCCCTCTTCCTGCCCCCCAGAGGGCACCTGCCCCAGAAGCCCTGGTCCTGTGGTCAGCATGCGAGTGGGTGGGGCCACAGGGGGTCCGAGGACGGTGTGGCTGCGGCAGCCCCGGGGAGGGGGGCAGGGGGCCCAGGTTCGAGGCCGCCTGGCCGAGGGGGCGCTCAGGTCTGGAAGAACTGCTGGTCCACCTGGCTGCTGAGGGTCCCGCTGGTGGTCAGCGTCTGGCTCACAAACTCCTGGGTCACGTGCCGGGTGAGGGAGCCCCCGGCCTCCAGGCCCCGGGGCCCCAGGGCCAGGCCATCTGCGGGGCAAGAGGTGTTGAGGGTCCCTGCCCTCCTCGCCCGTTAGCTCTGTCTCCCCCGGGAGAGCCTGGGCCTCGGCCACTCACCCAGCAGGAAGGGCTCGGCGGAGCTGGTGTGGGTGGTGGTGACGCTGCTGTACTCGCCGGGCAGCGGGTGCTGGTACAGCCCCGAGAGGGCCCCCAGCTGTGGGAAGGGGCCTGGAGGGGACAGACTGGCGCCTCAGGGACGGTGCCAGGGGTGTGGTCACGGGAAGGATGGGGCGCGAAGGGGCGAGATGCCCTACCTCCAGCCTGGGACTCGATGGTGATGATGCCCTCACGCTCCGGCCCGAAGCCCTGGGTGGTCCTGGCCTGCACCTTGAACTTGTAGGGCACGTTCTCGCGGAGGCCCGGCACCGTCAGCCTGCTCTCGGCGCAGTCGCCGTCCACCTGGAAGCTGATGGCTGGCTCTGGGCCGGGGAGGAGCCGTGAGCCTCTGGCGCCCCCTCCGCCCGCCCTCCCGGCCACCCTGCCCGGGGCGGGCGGCACCTCCTCCGTGGGCCCGCTCGCACGTGACCATGTAGCCCAGGATGTCTCCGTCCGGCCTGCGCGGCCGCTCCCAGCTCAGCTGCAGCGAGTCCGGGCTCAGGGCCGTGAACACCAGCGGGCCCGGCGCGCTGGGCGTGCTCAGGGTGAAGGCGGAGCCTGGCGGGGGAGAGGCCATGTGGGCATGTGGGGCCGGCGCGCCCGGAGAGGCGGGTGCGGGGGGCAGCTGGGGAGGTGCTGATGGGGGGCAGCTCACCTGGCAGGGGCAGCAGCGGGCTCTGGGGGTGCACCTGGGACTCGATGGTGATGACGCCCTCGCGCTCCGGGCCCCAGCCTTCCTGGCTCTGGGCCCGCACGCGGAACACGTAGGAGTGGTTGGGCAGGAGGTCTTCCACCACCACCGACGTCTGCCCGGGGTGGGGGATGTTGAGCCGATGCAGCTCACCTGGGGGGGGGGGGCGGGGAGCAGCCTTATTCCTGCTCCTGCCTGGTCCTCCCCCTTCCACTCCCCTCCCCGCCTCCCCCCCTCCCCGCCCCGGGCTGCTGCTAAGACCTGGTCAGCACCCACCGGGAGCTGCTGGTTTGGGGCCAGCCTGCTGCGGTCTGGGGGCAGGTTGCCTGCTCCCCAGGGAAGAGGGGGCTGGAAACCCCGTGCTGTCAGTGGCTCGGGTCATGCTGCTGAGAGTTTGTCTGCCCAGAAGGTGCCAGTTCCCAAAAGGCCTGTAGGCCAGCGAGGCCTCACCGGGCAGCGTCTTGCCCGGGGAGTAGCCTGGGGGCCCCGGGGAGGGGGAGGGCTCAGCAGTGAGACCCTCTCAGGCTGGGTGGCGTGGGTGGGTTCCTGCCTCAGCCCGGTGCCCGGGGTCACGGGGCCGGGCCTCACCGCCGTTGAGCAGCTGGTACTCCACGCTGTAGCCCTGCAGCGCCCGCTCGCACTGCGGCTCCTGCCAGCTCACTTTCAGGGACGTGGGCCCCAGGGCCGAGAACACCAGGCGGGTGGGGGTGTTGGGCAGACCGGCAGCCAAGCGGGAACCTGGAGGCAGGAGCCACAGTCAGTCCGGCTCGGGGTCCCAGGGCAGGAGTCGGAGTCCAGCTCCTGACCGCCCTCGGCTGTCCCGCCCACGCTGCCTGCTGGCCAGGCGGCTCACTCCCCGGCAACAGCCCGTCCAGACCCCCTGGCGCCTCCCGCCTGTCCTCAGGGTGGGTGTGAGCCCTGCCTGTGCCAAGCGCCGTGAGCCCCCGCCCCTCGGCAGGCCCGGCCCCTCCTGCCCAGCCCGCCCCCCGGGAAGGCGAGGCGGTTAGCGACAGCGGGATGTGGATGGATGGGGGGATGCGGGTCATGGCGGTGACTGCGATGCCGTGGGTGACAGATGGAGCGGACGGCTGTGGAGACTTGGCGGCCACGCTGTACTACCTGGGCCCCAGGGGGGCGCTGCTGGCTGCCCGGCCAGGACTATAGAGTCTGGTGAGTCCCTGGAAGGGGGGAACCCCTTCATCTGAGCCCGACTCCAGGACCCCAAGGACCAGGACAGCGGAAGCCTGCTCCTCCCGCCTTCCCAGATGGGAGGGAGGCCTGGGGTGGACGAAACGGGAGTGAGGGGGGGAAGAACGTGTGCTGGAGGCGGGCAGGGGGCACGGCAGGCCGGGGCAGCCCAGGAGCCGGAGGAAAGGAGAGGTCAGCCTGCCCAGCGGGGCTCGGTGGCTGAGCATCGACCTCTGAACCAGGAGGTAACGGTTTGATTCCCAATCAGGGCACAGGCCCGGGTTGCGGGTTCCATCCCCACCTGGGGGCGTCCAGGAGGCAGCTGATCCATGATTCTCTCTCATCATTGATGTTTCTCTCTCTCCCTCTCCTTCTCTAACATCAATTTAAAGTATTTAATTTTAGAACATATTTTTTAAAAGAAAGGGCAGAGGAGAGGCGGGTGGCGTGCACTCACTCTGCGAGGAGAGGGAGGTGAGGGTGGAGTAGTCCCTGGGCAGCGTCCCCGCGCCCGAGTGCTCGGTGCGCGTCAGCGAGTGGTAGTCCCTGGTGAGGGTGGAGGCGGCGCTCAGCACGCGGTGGGGCAGGTGCGGGCTCAGGTGGGTGCCGTAGGAGGCGCCGTAGGTGCCGGTGGCCGCCAGCCTGTGCAGGGAGTTGGCGCTGCCCGGGAAGGCGAAGTCCATCCGGCCGTTCACCAGGTGCTCTGCGGGGGAGAGCAGGTCACCAGTCACCGCCAGGCCGACACCGGGCGGCCCTGGGAATCCCCTGGCCACTGGGGCCTCCCTTGGCCCACGAGGGGGAGTCCACGGAGCCACACAGGTCCTGCAGCCCCCGGTCTCCGGCCACTGTGGACAGGCGAGCCCGCTGGGCCAGCTGGAGACGCAGTCCTGCAGTCAGCCCTGCCCCGCGGGGCCTCGGCTCTGGGGGAGGGGAGGGAGGCTGCCTCCACGCCCCGGCTCAGCCCCGGCTCAGCCTGGCGGGGGAGGGCCTCAGTGGGCAGCCTGGCCTCCGGCTGGGCCCCCGACAGCCAGGGGGTGAGCCTGGTGGGTGTGGGGTCGGGCTGCGCCGGTCACCTCCGGGGGCCCCACTGCCGCCCTCGCCCCCGGCGCCCCTGTCGGCGCGGTCGGGGGGCCCGGGGGGGTCGGAGGCGTCGGAGGAGCGCCCGCTGCAGGAGGACAGGCGCGGGATGAGCTCCGGGGGCAGCCGCCACGTGACGCGCCGCAGGTCCAGCTCCGCCCCCGGCAGGGCCTCGAACCGCCAGCCGCCGCCTTGGGAACAACGAAGGGCGCGTTGGCACCCCGGCGGGCGGGCGGCGGCGGAGCGGGCGGTCCTCGGGCTCTTTGGGGTCCGGTGGGGGCGGGGCGGGGCCCGGCGGGGCGGGGGCCAGGCGGCAGGCGAAGGCCCCTCTCCCGTGACTGAGCCGGTGCAGCCTGGGGGCCGCGGCCCTGGCTCTGCCACCAGCTGTGAGGGCTCCCTGCTCTGAGCCTCAGTTTCCCCATCTCTTCCTGCCAGCCTCCCAGGGACACTTCCCCAAGCCAGGATGTTCGGGGGGGGGGAGTGGGGGGGTGTCAGTAGCCGTTGAACTGGGGCTCCTCTGGCCCCCAGACTGAGCCCCCCCAAGACGCCCAGGCTGAGGCTCCTTAAGCCCACGCTCTGCCCGTCCGGGCAGGAGTGCGGTCCCTGGGCCTCATTCCTGGTGCGAGGGCAGCCCATTGTACAGATCAGGAAACTGAGGCCCACAGCCTGTGAGTGATTTGTCTGAACTGCAGCAGAGCCAGAAGCTCCAACTGTGTGGCTGGGAGTCCAGCAGGGGGCGCTTTGCACCGCCGTGTGTGGGAACAGAGGAGGCCTCTGGGCCATGCCTGCCTCCTCTCAGCCCCGTCCCTGGGAGGCCCCGGGGGTCCTGACTCCACGGCACAGCTGGCAGGCCTCCAGCTGCAGAGCCGTGTGTCTCCCTGCCCCCGTGCACAGGCGCACCGTGTTTGCACACGGGCCATGCGCTCTTTGTCCCTGTCACACCACTGACCTGAGTCTGACCTTCATGCCCGAGGTCACTGGCCTGTGTTCTCTCTGGACACCGGTGCCAGCCCCTCCCTCTCCCGACCCCCAGCTTCCTCAGGGGACCCTCTCACCAGTGTCGTCGGAGACGCTGGGCCGCTGGCTGCCAGCTGGGGAGCGCAGCACCTCGTCGCTGTACATGAGGTAGCTGTCGTAGTCCTCCCCGCCCTGCGCGTCCACGATGGGGATGTCGGGGATGATGGGAACTGTGGGGAGAGGGGGGGTGAGCGGAGCCCCCGGCTGGCCTCCCGGGCCTCCGTCCGGCCTGTGCCTCCCCGGGCCCCCCGTCCGCCCCTCCCGGGCCCCCGTCCACCCCTCTGGGGCCCCCGTCCACCCTATGCCTCCCCGGGCCTCCCCAGGCCCCTCGTCCGCCCCTCCCAGACCCCCCCATCTGCCCTGTGCCTCCCCGGGCCTCCCCGGGCCCCCCGTCCGCC